AGGTGAGTAGCATTCACTCTAGACAACAGTGCTTCAGGGAGACTCTGAAGACAGAGTGATGGCATTATGATAGTTCTGTGCTGTGGTTCTTCAAATCGTGGAAAACTGGAATGAAAAGATAGCATCCTCAAAGAAAGAAAGACAGTATTATCCCCCAAATTTTGAAACTCCCTTTTTATATCTGTGTATAAGTACACGTACATGTGTGTATATATACACATACGCATATGGATACGAGCAATTAGAGACTCTGGGACCCTGGACCCTTTAATTTTATGATGAGTGGCAGTGCCACTCCATGTTTGGAAGCCACCAACCATCCAGATTTCGTTGAGCAACTGTTTTTGCTGTACAGCTTAATAAGTATAGTGAGCCCTGGTGGCTTACTGGTTCCACATATTACTGCTACATGCATGGTCTACCTTTTGAAACCGCCAGCTATCCTTTGGGTGAAAAACGGCCTTCTACCATGTAAACTGTTAGTCTTGGAAATACAGAGTGACAGTTCTACCCTCTTCTGTAGGGTCACTATGAGTGGATATAGATTTGATTGCTGTGAGTACCATATATACTCGAGTATAAGCCTACCCGAATATCAGCCAAGGCACCTAATTTTACCACAAAAACTAAAAATGTGCTGAAAAACTCAGCTTATACACGAGTATATATGGTATGTATGGATATACTTATGAATATATACAAGTGCGTGTATGTCTATATATAGTAGCTCTGATGTTATGTGTTCCAAGATATTCCAATCAGATACTGAATATTTAAAACTTGGTTTACTCATGTGGGATTAGAAACACCACATGGTAGAAACAGAGTGAAATGAATAGGAGCTTCTTTGTGAGGTGATGTAATCTTTGGAGAATTGGAGCAATTCAAAGTAAAAGTACATGTGTATGGTGAAATTGTAATCAATATGTGTTTAATTGCATGCTACTATTTTTAGCAGAAGACATCTCAAACAGAATGGCTGTGACATAAATAAGGAAAATCAGTGTGGACAGACCTTCAGTTGGATTCCAGATCTTCACATGCTCAAAAGAACTTCTAATGCGCCATGTCCTTCAAAACCCCGTCACAGTGGGAAATCCTCCATGGACCAGTCTTCATCACCTAAGTGCTCTACTCATTTTCACTCTGAATGTAACCTCTGTCAGGACGGAGACCACGGAGCAGGCTGCACTTGTCCTCCTTCCTCCCACAGTCCTGTGAGACTTCTTATTGGAGAGAAGCGTAAGGACCTTGGAAACACCTTTGATAAATCCTCCGAGGTTCCTGTACGTTTAAGAACTCACAGTGGAGAGAGGCCTTATGA